TCTTCGAAGGAGTACGCTGCCAACCTATTCTGTAGCTTTCCAATAGCTAAACTTATTCCTGGTGTATCAGAGCCACACATTTCTCAGAACTAGTCAACATATTTAACCTGGACACGGTAAGATTAAGAATACGCCTCTGTCACGAGTTCTCCGAGCAGCGATACCTGTTAAATCAGCACTTTATCGGAACTCGGACTGATGCAGAAGATGCTCTACGCACCAGCTTTGCAAACGTGAATTATCTCAAAGCCAATGTTCTCTCCTTCTCGATCGCAGTCAGTCCAGATCACCAGAGCTTGGCACTGCCGGACTTCTCGTTCAAGGGTTCGCTGAGATGAGAAAACAACGCAGAGTGAGACACTCCAGGCCACTTGCTTTGTCGTTTAGTTTTAGAATGACTCACTAACTGAACACGAAACGCAACGTGTATCCATGGAGATAGATTGTTGCAATAACAGTTTGTAATTGTGTGTCTCATGAGATTAGGCGGCTTTCAAAAGAATTGAGTCATTTATTTACATCAAACTCTGTTAAAAAGCACGGCTTGGACCGCAGCGTACCACAGTCTGTTTTCTGAAAATGTCACTTTTTGTAAAATTGAGACGCAATTACCAGTTCCATCTTGTTGGAAAAAACATTTCTACTTTTAGCAAAGTAGTTGTTCCTTTACTGCACGAATTGTCCATGGGCAGGAGACTTTCGATGTCACAGACAAACAGCATATATAGTCCTAGGAAACGCAGGAGGAGTCTGCTAAACTCTAGGACTCGGACGTTAAGGACAAAGGTACAATCCTCCTTCTGTCTGAGACAGCGTTTGTAGAACTAACCATTGAACTTGGAGTTTTAGGGAAACTCTTGAAAACAACTTACCTTGATATCCACGTAATTTTCAGGGCAATACTTCTCAATTTCAGCATCAAAAAGAGCTAGAGGGTTGCAGCTATGCCTGGTAAACAGAGGAGAAACAGTCTGCATAACAAAAACTAAAACGTATGTTGTGAGACACTAACTGGTGCTGTCATGTGAGGAAGTGCTGTTCAAGTACTGGAATTAATAATATATTCTACTAAAGGCCTCATCTTAGACAACTTAGAGTTGACATGAAATGCTGAGTTATGCTTAAAAGCAAGAGAACCAAAAAGCCACCAGAGAAAACAGCGAATCTGGAAGGCAGCCCTAAAGAAGCACCTGCTCTTGTTTCAGGCACAGAGAACACAGGGGAGGGAAGCTGGGGAAAGCGCCTCGCTGCCCACAACTCCTAACTGAACAAAGAATACAAAAACATCAATGAAATTTTGGAATGAGTTTAATTCCTTGGGTCTGCCTTAATGTATTTTAACCAGCATTATGACTTTGGGGCTTTTTAGCACTCTGAAGGCAGTAATTTGAAACAATTTTAGCTATTGCATATAAAATTTGGTACCCGTCACCCTGCTCTGCACGTGGTATCAGAGTCCCTCCCTGCTCCCAGCCTTCGACCTCGCAGCGCCCGGCTCGGCTCGGGGTTGAAAGCGGAGGACGAGAGCCTTCAGTTACTAAGTACTAACCATTTGCGAAACGGCAGCTTAAAATCATGAGCCAGTAAGTGTCCTGACACGGATGTCATCACCATAGTAACATTCTGCAAGAGACAGAGCAAGGTAATTAGTGCCCATCATTAGCTAAAAATTACCCAGAGCCCCAAGATCCTGATGCAGTTCTCAATTTACACAATCAGTGACGCCTCCCTCCTGCTAATATATCATAACAAGCTCTTCTCTCTACTGACAGCTAAGTCTACGGCCTTACCCTCAATTTTTGTAGGAAGCTCCCAATTCTAAACAGCAACATATTTTTGACTGATGTAAAGCCAGAAAGTTGAAAGACTTAAAGCAACAAAACAGGTCAGTGGCTGAGCCAAGAAGAGAACATCTGACTTTTCCTCATCTTTGGACAAAACGTTCCCCGTCACTGGGTATGTGTTTTGTAACTTCTGACAAATGGCTTTTCACAACCCGCACTTTGCACTTCTCTAATCCAGCAGCAGAATGAAAGAAAACACTACCTGGCCAAACATCTGGTAGTCGTATTCGTAGATCTTGTTGAACTTGGAAAACCCTTCACGCTAGAAGGAAAAAGAAAGTTGCTGAGTTTCTGGCTCCTGACGGAAACCAAACGCGTTCCGCCTTGCTTCCTACACGCTGTTAAGGCAGAGCACAGAGGAGCACGGGGCGAGCGAAAACCAGGTACTGCAGCTCCTGGAAATGGCAGCAGGGTGAACGGAAATTGCCTGTATCATTTACAGAGACATGAAAATGGTGCTTTGCAATGTAAGGGTATTTTAAACCATGGCTGAAGGGGATCCGGGGTTATCTCCCCATGGGTAGTGACAACAAACAGTGATGATCAGATTTGTTTAGCGGGGCTGGCCAGTTGTGTTCCTGAAGAACAACTGTCCTGCTCCGAATGACAACCAGTGTGCCAGCTCCGGGTGCCCAAGACCACCCTCCACCTAACTGAGACTCATGGAAGTTTCTAGACTGGGCATTTGCTGCTTTTTCCACAGAAGCAGGAGGATATCTCCCTGGATTGGGACGGTCAGCGCTCAGGTTCTCAATAACACCTTTCATTCAAATATAATTCTGGTCTAGAAGCACCTTCTAGTTCCTTAGCCTGGAAATACCAAGTAATTAGGCAAACCGTTAAAGGTCACAGAACAAAGCAGCAGAGAAGAGAGATCTCTGAACTCCTCTTCTGCAAACTACAGACCATCTTTGCTTTATTACGTGAACTCCAGCAAACCCCTGACACTCGCTGACGCCGCAGAGGAGGTGCTTTTTGACAGGGAGATACAGGCCAACAGACAGTTTCAATTCCTGACGCCTTTTGCACACACTACAAAGCCAGGACGGACACGGGGAGCCTTCACCACGGAGCTCAGTGCCCGAGGAAGGCGCTCTGGGCAGAGGGAGCGCAGCTGGGGGGCTGAATTCCAACACGACTTAAGTCACAAGGAAAAGGGATCCGAGACTCGCAAATACATCTGGGCAAGTGGTGTTTGTCCACGAAAGAAAGCTGGTTTTCTACCCTCGCCCAGTCTGAAGCAGCCAGAGACAAAAGCAGTGCAAGATGTTCATTGAATCACAGAATGGTTTGGGTTGGAAGGGACCTTATAGATCATCCAGTTCCACCCTCCTGCCCTGGACAGGGACCCCTTCCACCAGCCCAGGGTGCTCCAAGCCCCATCCAACCTGGGCATGAACCCTGCCAGGAAGGGGGCAGCCACAGCTTCTCTGGGCAACCTGGGCCAGTGTTTCACCACCCTCACAGTGAAGAATTTCTTCCTTAGATCTGATCTAAATCTCCCCTCTTTCAGTTTTCAGCCATTATTCCTTGTCCTGTCAATCCATGCCCTTGTCACAAGCCCCTCTCCAGCTCTCTCGCAGCCCCTCCAGGCACTGGCAGCTGCTC